CCTGCCACTTTGGGTGTACATGGTTGGCGCCTTAGCCACTTGAGCCACAGGCGCCGAGTCTAGAACCTGTCTCTTAAAAAAAAAAAAAAAAAAAGCAATGGCTCAGCACCTGTGGCTCAAATGGCTAAGGTGTCAGCCACATACACCTAAGCTGGTGGGTTCGAATCCAGCCTGGGCCTGCCAAACAACAATGACGGCTGCAACCAAAAAATAGCTGGGCACTGTGTTGGGCGCCTGTAGTCTGCCTGTAGCCCCAGCTACTTGGGAGATGGAGGCAGCAGAATTGCTTGAGCCCAGGAGTTGGAGGTTGCTATGAGCTGTGATGCCATGGTACTCTACTGAGGGCAATAAAGTGAGACTCTGTCTCTAAGAAAAAAGCAAACAAAAACTTTGCCATGTCAGAGATTTCTTAAGACAGAAAGTATAGACTTTCAAGGATAAGACTGATATTTGACAGTAAAATTAAATATTTCTATTAAAAAAGGCATCATTAAGAAAGTAATGATTTCCTTTTTAGTGGTTTTATGGTTACTCAATAAAAATATATATATAGAGAGGCTGAGTGCAGTGGCTCATGCCTGTAATAACAGCACTTTGGAAGGCAAGAAAAGAAGATCACTGGAGCCCAGGAGTTGAAAGCTGCAGCAAGCAATGATCACACTAAGCCTAGACAACAGAGTGAGACTCTGTCTCAATAAAATAAACAAAAAAATTCAGAGAGAGCAGGCTTGCATGTGTAAGATTGAGAGAAAGAGAAAACTCTTAATGAATCCGGAAAAAATGAGCTTAAAAAGTATGGTTAAATGTGAATAGTGCTGGTTAGCATGTAAATATAAATGATATTATTAGCTGAAGTATTTCATAATACAGTGCATCTTGGTTTGCATAGGACAGTGTAAACTGTGACTTGAGCTTATTAGAACTGGTTCACACAGTACCATGGAAAGCAGGGACTACCTATATAGAATTTTAATAATAGTTAATTCCTAAATATTACTGTGATTTTACACATGTATTTGTTTGGTGAACTCTATTAATAATCTTTTATTTTGAAACTTCTTTGAGCACTTTCCCAAGCCTGTTAATGTATGGCTGCTGCTTTCTTTGAAGGTGTAGTTCTTTATAAAATGATGCAAGAAAGAGTCTGGAAAACTCAGCATAAAGGTTTTGATTATTCCATAATAAGGAAGTATCATCTTTCAAAGTGGTATTTTCTGTATTTATAATTTTTAAAAAATATATGTATTTTTATACTAAGGAATTCTTTTCCCCTTGTATATTTTTATTTCCCTTAGTAATCATCAAGGTGCTATGTCAGTAGCAACTGAGTCTTCAGAACTAAGCACATCAGATTTGCCTTCATTAGAACTTGGAATTAGGGAATTGTGTAAAGTGAATAATGCTGACAGTAGTTGTCCAGAAGAAAGAAATATTGACCTAAAGAATACATCACTGTAAGTATTTTACATTCTTTTTTTTGGAGTGCCAATGTGTCATGGCTCACAGCAACCTCAAACTCTTGGGCTCAAGTGATTCTATTGCTTCAGCCTCCCAAGTAGCTAAAACTACAGGTGTCTGCCATAATGCTCGGCTATTTTTAGAGATGGGGGGTCTCATTCTTGCTCAGACTGGTCTTGAAATCATGAGCTCAAGCAGTCCACCCACCTTGGCCTCCCAGAGTGCTAGGATTATAGGTGTGAGCCACTGTCCCTGGCCCATTTTTGTCATCTGCATAGACTTAAAAATACTATCTATTATCCTGACCAGATGCAATAGCTCTTGTCTATAATCTCAGCACTTTGGAAGGCTGAGGCGGGAAGATCTCTTTTTTTTTTTTTTT